GGGGAGGCATCAGGTCGGAGTGGCCGCCGATTTGGCTGAACTGGACGTTGCCGCCAGAAACTGCGTTGCCTTGACCGTAGCCGCTACGGTCTGCCCACTGCCCAGAGGCATCCTTTGGCGGGGGAGGGGGCGCGTCCTCGACATCGCCGCTGAGAGGTCTGTCGGAGGGAGATCCGAGGGACATGCCGTCCATACCGCGACGCATCTGAGCCTCGCGGAGCTTCTCCTCGAAGAACTGCAGGTTTCGTCGGCCATCGCGCATCTGCGAGTCGAGTCGAGATCGAACAGCCTCGTTGTTTGTCTGCGCACGCATAGCATTGGCGGCATTAAGCAGCGCCTTTTCGCGCTCAATCTTCTTGAGGATGTTCTGGATGGCGTCTTCTTCGTTCATGTTGGGCGGTGGGGGTGCGCGACTCCACGCGCGGGGGAAGAAATATGTGGTGTGCTGTGGTGGTGTTGGTGTGGTGTATGTGTTGGGTATGGATTGTTGGGGTGAAGATGCGGCGGCGCGAGGTGGCGACCGTCGGGAGAAGTGATGGTGATGGTGATGGTGCCGATGCTAGAACTGTAGTCATTCGCCCGGGGCGAAGAATGTGCGGCAGCGTAGGTATGGTAGCAATAGGTACGACGCGGCGACAGCAGCACGAGACGAAGCAGCTGTCTAAGGCTGAGGGGATAAGGCCAGGTCTGGCTCTGGAGGTGGAGGTGCAGATGTTCTGTTATGGATACCGGGGGTTCGGCGTCGGGGAGGGGAGGGGGGGCACCTCAGTTAAGGCTCGGGCAGGCCTGGCGGGTTTGGCACGACCGGGACGTCGAGATCGGTCTGTCGGAGGTCGGTGTTTGGGGACTATCACGACAGAGATTCGGTTGGGTGCGACCGGCCCTGAGGAGTGGTGTTGTTTTTCGCAGGCGGGATGGGTTGGTTAAAAGATGTCGTCAGTGGGTTTTGGAGGAGGACACACGACGGGGGGGTTTGTTCCCAGGTCGGGAGGGGTCGCTCGCTGGTGGTGGTGGTGGTGGATGGTGGAGGACGTGCTGGGCTGGTGAGGTCCTACTGCCTTGGGCATGAGGAGGGGTACGGATAGTGACTTGAGCCTCCTGCTGTTTTGGCGGGGAGCACTGCGAAGACCATGTACCTCTGACGTATCAGTCCTCTGCTGCCAAAGAGTACGTACCGAAGACTCTGGAGGGGGACGACGGCGAAATGGAGGGGTGTTACGAAAGCGCCCGGGCGGACGAAGCAACTCTGTAACTCGATGTGAAGATGGCAGGCGAGCTAACCCATGATTCGGACGATTATTTCAATTACTACAACCTTTTTTGGACGCGCTGGTCTTCTATCCTACTATCCATCCAGTGCGATATCACCTCATTAGCATGTGGGAGCAGGCTGCTGCAGAGCATCCAGCAGTACCGACAGATTTTTCCTTCCATTCTTTCTTCTGTAAGGTATTTCGTGCATGCATCGCATCAGACCGCCAACTACAGACACCCGACATCACTTTCCATCTGCTTCCACATGGGGACCTGGTGATGCCCAACTCGTGCCCTGGAAGCATTGGTAGCGGGTACTGCACATCAACACATCAGTCATTCTCCCCCAATCTTCACCGCGTAGACACACACGCAGACGGCCTGTATTCGTATCCACAGGGCACCAAGGCTCAACCCCAGCTGGAGACGAGGTCCCAGGCCCCTCCAGGCTCCTCGTTCATTCATTCGCCTTGTTCCCGTTGCTGGTCCCTGTCTCACTCATTCGTTTGGCCGCCGCTCAATCAAATCAATCAATTGTGGCGGCGCCTTGCAGAAACCCACGGCGGAAAAAATAAAAAAAGTCCTGCGCCGGACGTGGGGCGACCAAATCCCAGGTAGGACTTTTTGCGCTGTTTCACCACGGTGAAGAAGACTCACTGCCCACGCCAATCATCCTGTCAACAAAGCCAGACGGGGTTTAAAACCAGCTTTGCAGTACTGCATAGCAATTAGTTTCCTGTACACCATGGACAGGCTACTCCTGGAGCTCTCGCATCTCAGGTATGGCAAGTTACAGATCCCCTTCTCGCGGACAGCTACCTCCGCCGAAACTGCTGCTCTCAACCCCAAAGAAACATCAACCCGGTACCTTGTCTTGAGAACGGATACCTCTCTCTGGGTACTGGCGAATATGACTGGACGGAAACCAACTGATCCCACCTGATGCAGCCTACCTACCTACCCACCAATAGCGCCTTCATCACACCTCACTCGTCCGTCCGGCCCTCTCTCACCCTCCTCATCACATTCGCACTCACCACCACAGACAAACCAGATTCACCACAACGACCGAAGCCTGCAGCCCAGCTCCAGTGCCCACTGCCCAGCTGCCAGCCAGACAGCTTCTGCCTCTACCTAGGTTATGTTCGGGGAGTTTTCAGAGACCCAGTTTAAGCATGGCCAATCCTCGTTGGAGCTGCTTTCTGCTGTGTGCATCATCACTCGATTCACTCACCCACAACTCTCTCTATGATCTGATGATGCTGCGCCTGCTGCAGCCCTAAGTTTCCCGTTCCTCCCGTCTAGCTGCTTCCCTACCGCAGTAGCGCCTCTACCAATCGCAATCCCTCCGTCGTACTCGCCGTCACCATGCGCCGTCACTCTGCAACGGCCGCCTGTGAACCGGCTGGCCTTCACTTCAAGAACCCGACCCATCCCACGAAACCGCACATGTCAAAGCCGTTTACCCTCTCTGTTCAATGTCTCTAATCTTGCTCAGCATCGTCCGTGCCGTTGCATCTGCCAGATGGCCACTCAACACCACGACTCCCTCCCCAACCGTTCTAAAAGGCCGCCACAGCGCCACAGCTTCCACTCTTCCCCTCGTGATTGTCGTTCGCCGTCCGTCATCCCCGGCTGACACCTGCACTGCCGACGAAAAGGTCTCACTAAAAAGTGCCCCCCGCCCCAGCAGCTGCCGGCCGGCCTTTCCGCGCCACACCGACGGCGACTCCTCCCCAGATCCCGCCCTATGGACTCCCGCTCCGTCACAAACGAACACAAACCACGCGTTTAGAATACGAGTTTCTCCCCCAGCGAAGCTACCTACCTGCCCTCTTCGGGAGCCCAGAGTGGACGCTAAACGACATATGCCATCGGCTAAGCCATCTTCAGCTGTGCCGGATAACAACACGAGAGCATCTATTGACCGCACTCGTTGTTCTGTTCATGCCCAGCTGTGTAACGTTTACTTGAAACAAACCTAGCCCTCACCACAGCCAAAGATCGCCGTCCACTTCAGCCCAAACAATGACAACCTGCGGTTCAATGCCTGGCCCGAGTGTTTGGACATGGCTCCGTTCATGATCTCAAGCTCACCAGCAAGAACAAACCGCAGCGTAACCGCGCCTCAGCAAAAGGGCCAGTCCAGTCAACGACCGCTCCCAAAAAGAGCCCAGCGTCGTCGCGGAACCGTTTCGACCCCACCCGTCGCCGTCCATGGTCCTCCCCTCCACCGTCGGCCCGCCCAAACCCAACCCGACCCAACCCGGGCTTGCTCCTGTCTTCCCTTATCTGCGACCCGCGGAACTCGAAGCCAACGTGGGATCGCTACCTTGCCGTCGGAGAAAGCAAAGTGATTCCGTCATCGCGCCTCATAGTTGCGGCTCAAGCCGTTCATCATCCCCTCGCTCTCGCGACGTGCACGCATAGCTGAACCGATGGATCGATCACATTGTATCCTTTTTATAGCCTCAACATACGACGCAGCTGATCACATCGCGGCCGGCTCATCTGCCATCGCATAAAAGTCCTGCTTCGCAACGTTTCCCTAGAAATTCGGCGATGCGGTCTGTGTGTGCACTTATTTCGATCTGATCTGATGTACGTTGCCTGCCAAGCGGGCTTTCCGCAACGGGACGCATGTACGTCGTCGAGCTTATGCCGGCAGTGCGTTCCGTCCAGCGGTCAACGTCTAAGCCACCCGGACAGTCGGGATGAAAAAGTGTCGACTTTCATGGGCTTATGTTGGGGTCGTCCTACTTTTGGAAGGGTGGCTTGAGATCAGTATTTGATCTGAGATCTCGCGTGCTGAAGTTTGTTGGTGATAGCGTGTTTTTGCAGCATTGATTGATCTTGCCTCCTAATCATCACTGGGAATTTTCGATCTACAATCAACTAGAGAGCCTTGTCTGGGCGTGAGTTGTGGCATGGCTTTCGTCTAGTGTTATCGAGCTTGGGCTGAGGCTGAGAACGCGCGCGTCTTGCCGTGTCCTACGGATGACCGAGATGTACATGCGAATAAGCACATGTCTTTTTGATCGCTATTTGGCATTCTACCAATATATGCCTCGTTCTTCATTGATCAAAACATTCTGAACTTACTGACGACCAAAAAAATAAGGTTTTTGACGCGGGTGCTTCTGTCGCCTCTGATGTTTGATCTAGCATCCGCCAAATTGACCACATCATACCTCTCTAACCATAGAATATTAGCTTACACGATCCATACTATTTAAACTCGGGAGAGTTCAAATACCTTACTGCAACCAGTGTTAAGCACCTGGGGATCCAGGATTGAACCTACCAGCCCAGTTGTCATCTTGTCCCTTCTTCTTCTTAATTTTCTCTTATGATTCCACTTGTTTATCCAGCGTGTTATCGAAGCCGTTCAAGTGCATTTCTCTCCCAGACCTGCTGTCTTGATCTTTGCTCCAGTGAATGTGGCGATATCAAGTAGCGATAGCAAATGTTCACCATAGTTATTGCTGCCTCCCATTTCACCATTACACATGTCATTTCATGAGCCAAACCGCGATTGTGAGTCGGGCAACCCAACCTGCACATATGGTTAACCCACCAAGAACATCGACACGAAATCACATACACACAGATTGTCCAGAGACTCAATGAGCTAACAGGATATGATTTAAAAAGCAATCGACACCCAACACCGAATCGTGTCGCTTTTAACTACCGTCTAATAACCTACAAGCCCAAACTTCGCCACGGCACCATCGAAAATCCCTTTAAGAAGTGTAATCCTTCTGCAGCAGCTTGGCAATAGTGTTGAGCTGGATGTTGCTCGTGCCCTCGTAGATGGCGCCGATCTTGCTGTCACGCCAGAACTTCTCGGCGGGCCCGTCACGGACGAAGCCCATGCCGCCCATCCACTCAATCGCCAGACCGGACACGCGCTGCGCGACCTGGGACGCGTACAGCTTGGCCATAGCGGCGTCCATGACGAAGTTCTCACCGGCCTCCTTCTTGCGGGCGGCGTTGTACACCAGGGCGCGCGCCGCAGCGATCTCGGTGTACGACTGCGCGATCTGGTGCTGCATGCCCTGGAACTCGCCGACGAGCTGGCCGAACTGCTTGCGGTCGTTCCAGACGTACCTGGCGGTGTAAGTATGGAGTCACTGGCGGGCAGAAGTTGGCGGGAAACTTACTTGACGGCGTTCTCCCAAGAGCCGAGAGCCAGACCAGTCATCTGAGCGGCGATACCGATACGACCCTCGTTCAGGAGCCCGATGGCGTACTTGTATCCGTGGCCCTTCTCACCGAGGAGGTTCTCCTTGGGGATCTCGACATCATCGAAGTTGATGACGCAGGTGCTGCTGGCCCTGATACCGAGCTTCTTCTCCTTCTTCGCAATCGAGAAGCCCTTGGTGTCCTTCTCGACAATGAAAGCGGTGATACCCTTGTACCCCTTGGCAGGGTCCAGGTTCGCAAAGACGATGAAGAAGTCGGCCTCCATGGAGTTGGTGATCCACATCTTGGAGCCGTTGATCTTGTACCCGCTCTCCGTCTCGGTGGCCTTGGTCGCGAGCGCGAACGCGTCGGAGCCGCTGACGGGCTCGCTGAGGCAGAAGCTGCCGACGGTGTTGGTGGCGAGCTTGGGCAGGAAGCGCTTCTGCAGCTGGCTGCTGCCCCACTTGATGATGGCGGTGTTGACGAGGGTGTTGTGGACGTCGACCATGACGCTGACGCTGGGGTCGACGCGCGCGAGCTCCTCGATGCCGATGATGGCGCTGGTGAAGTTCATGCCCGCGCCGCCAAACTCCTCGGGGATCTCGACACCCATCAGGCCCTGCTCGAAGAGCTGCTCGACGATGGTCGGGTCCATGTTCTCGGCCTCGTCCATCTCGCGGACCTTGGGCGCGATCACGTCGTTGGCGAACTTGCTGACGGTCTCGGCCATGGCGGCCTCGACCTCGGAGAGGTGGGTAATGGGGGTCGGCGGGATGTCGGTGATGTCGAGGTGGTCGGCATTACGGCGGCGCTGCGTGGTGGAGAGGGGTCTGATGGTTCTATACGAGCACTCTTGTCAGTCCATTGCCCCGCAAGATATTCTTCTTTCACGGTGATCTATATCGGCGACTTACTGCTGGAGTGGCGAGAATGTCCGGCCCGGAGTGCAATTCCTCGCCCTCGCCAGCGCGGCAACACCACGGCTTCCCCTCATGGCAGGGCGGAGAGCCCTTGCGATCGACGACATGATTACAGAGAGACTGTAGAGAAAAGGCGAACTACAAAAATGCCCCAGCAATGGCAAGTCCAGAGGGAAGAAAGGAAGATCGAAAACTCTCGAGGGGGCGGGTGATCATAAGATCGCCGGAGGTGCTCTGGTACTTATGCTCCGTCGGTGACCGTGCGGTGGTGATGCGTGGAGAGAAAGCGCCCGGACTTGTGTTGGTCAATTGGCGCCGAACGGTGAACCTGAGATGAGGCGGTAGAGAGTAAGCAAATTTGGGAAACCAAATAAGCCAAAGGGGAAGGGGGGGCGAGTGGAAAATAGAGTCAAAGATGTGTACCGACTAGGCCGTGAACCTCAAAGCCATTCGCAGCCACGGCACCTGGCGGTTGGCGAACAGACACAGCGCCCGCTTCAGCCGAGGATATCCATCCCGCAGCGGGGAGCTTGCCCCCCCAGGCTGGGGGCCAAGGGCCCCTGGGGAGAGCCGACGGCGCAGTAAACGTCTGAAAAGCCGGGGTTCGCCCACATCTTGGCGGCGGCTTACGTCAGGATCTTCCCCAAAGCACGTTTGGGATTGGACATGGGCGGAGGCATGTGATCCAGACGAGGTGGAATCCGGTCCGCGTTCGGTGCAAGGGGCGGGTTCGATGGCCGAAGGGGGTGGGTCCGGGGGACGGAGCGCCGGTGGACTTTGTGCCTCAGGTTCTAAACCCAGACTAGAGTCTCCGGAGAGTATTAGCTAAGCAGGAAAATTACCAGCGGCGGTTCAGCCAGGGCGACTTAGGCGCATCGCGACGAGCTTCGCTTGGGGAGATAGCAATTGGGTGCCGCCAGTTCGATACGCAGTTGCCCGACATGGCCAGCACACTTTTCAGGTCTCTCTTCGCCCCGGCGATGAGGCCAGCTACCTTTCCCCGCGCCGCCTCATTCCTCACGTCGATGCCGAAGACGACGCCTATGATCCGCTCTTTCTCCTCGACCCCCATCCAGAATGCCACCGTCAACCAGGTGCTGCGAGTTCGTCTTCCCTCTCGCGAACCCCAGCATGTTGCTATGTTACGAAAATTTCCTAACAAAATATCACCAGGGCTGCCACAAGAAGGGCAAGCGCGCTCGTCACACCGTCTCCCCCGCCCTGTCCGAGATGAACGCTCCCGCCATGAAGGGCGTATGCCTCAGAGTCGGTATTGTCCGCCCGAAGAAGCCCAACTCCGGCCAGCGCAAGACCGCTCGTGTCCGCCTCTCCAACGGTCGTCACATTACCGCATATATCCCCGGCGAGGGCCACAACATCCAGCAGCACAGTGTCGTCCTCGTCCGCGGTGGCCGCAGTCAGGATTGTCCCGGTGTGCGATACCACCTTGTCCGTGGCGCTCTCGATCTCGGTGGTGTTGGTAGCCGAACCACCTCTCGTTCTAAGTACGGAACCATGAAGCCCAAGAAGGCTACTGTCGGCTAGACGGATACTTGAGGCGGAGACGGATGGACGGAGGTTGATGGTAGGGAGTCACGGGTTGCAAGAACATGACCAAAGTCATGGAATTACGATAACGGTGTGTGAATCGACACCAAGATGTACCACCATATGATGTACAAAAATACCACAAAGTCAAATTTGAAAATCTGGCTGGATATTCTCCAGACGTCGCTTGTCATTTGCCAATATCTACAGAGCACACATAGTGTCCAAGCCAGACGAAACCGTTTGACGCCGCTCCACGTTTAGTGCCCCAAAGCCTGCCCATTGTCTCTCGTCGATGCAGGTGAAATTGAATCGTGGCAAACCCAAAAGCCACCCCAGTGAAATTGTTAATACAAGCTACATTTTCCCATACCCGCTTTTACGATCTTAATCTTGCTGGTTCTCGTATCCCTCGGGCTTCTCCATGCCGTTGGTCTCGAAGAAACGGCTCGTGCCTGGACGTAGTTAGCTAAGTGTGCTTGGACAGATTGGGAAAACAGCCAACTTACAAGAGTAACCCTTCCAGTCAAAGTTGTCCTTGGGGTTGCAGTGGCAGCGTCTGTCGAGGCGGACCTTCTCGCCGGTCGGGCAGTGGGTGAAAGGGACGTGGTAGTAGGCAATGTCGTTGAAGAAGTGGATTTGCTCCTTGGGCAGCATAAGACCGGCGGCAATAGAGTGCACAGGCGCATCACCCCATCGCTCGTAGAAGAAACCACCGTCCTGGTCGAGGGACTCGAAGTAGTCGATGTAGGCCTTGGAACGAAGCCAGTTAAGGTCACCGACCTCGAAGTTGGACCACTGATTGGCCGTTAGTTGGGTGGTCAGCAAACGGTAGAGCGGTTCAAACTTACGAAATGGCAGTGGTTGTAGGAGTCACCACCGTCGTCACTCAGGAAGCTCATGGAGTTGCCCTCGGCAATGTGCTCGGGGTGGTTCTTCATGAACTTCTTGGTGCTGTCCCAAAGGGTGGGGATGGTCTCGACGTACTCGTACAGGCTCAGGACGAAGCTGTACTTCTTGTTGTTCTCCTTCATGAAGCGGAACGGGTCGTAGTGGATGTCGCAGAAAAGCTCAATGGAGGGCTCGACACGCCAGTAGTAGTCGTAGTTCATCATGGCGGGCTGGCGGAAGAAGAATCCAGACTCGAAACGGCACATGTGGCGGTAGCTGACCGAGTCACCGTAGATGATCTTGCGCTGGGCCATGTCCTCGCGAACCTTGCGTGCCTTCTCCTGGTCAATGTGCTCGGGGAAAGACCAGTGCTCCTTGGGAATCTCGCCGTAGATGGTCTTGCCGGACACAAGGGAGGAAGTGACCTTCTTGAAGGTGGCATCGAAGGGCTTGTCGTTCAGGAAGACCCAGTCGTAGTTGTAGCGGCGGTTGAAGCGGTCCTCAACCTGGCGAATGGAACGGGCAATGTCCCAGATATCAGAGTTACGGGCGAGGGTGACGAAGGTCGCGTTCATGCGGGGACCAGGGGCGATGCCGCTGTTGAGGTCGTCCCAGCCAGGCTCGTTCGGGGTCATGGCCATGGGCCACTGCTTGGGGTCGTACTTCTCGCCAGCCTTGAGCACGTTGGCTGGGGGCTTGCTCGCGGCGTGTTCAGGTTCCTTCGCTTGGCCCGGCTGGCTTTGCTGACCTTGTTGTCCTTGCTGGCCAGGTGCAGCGCCCTGTCCCGGGGACTTGAAGCTGCCATTCTCGAGCCTCACACCCTCGTAGCTGGAGTGGGAGATGAAGTAGAAGACGGCGAGACCCTAGGAGACAGACAATTAGAACCCTGATGGATGGATTTTGATTGATGAACGAGTGATTTTGCTGTTGTCTGGAAACATGACCGGAGGCCAAGAGAGGGCACGACCACAGGACGCGCTGGCAGGAGGCGGCGAGGCGTCACTTACGAAGGCGGCGAAAAGAATGTATCGCACATATCGTGCGGAGCCGGTCGCCATCTTGACCGATTTTACCAGGTCGACGATGGGATCCCGTGTAGGTGAATAAGAGCTGGAGAAGAATCGAACAAAAGCGCACTTCGTCGAGGTGAACGAGGTTGAATAAAAAAAGAGAGGGAGGGAGATTGAGGAAGGGATACGAATACACAGACACGTCCAGGAAAATGTTCAGAGCGATGGACTGACTGGCTCGGGCCAGCTGGAGCACCTCAGCACGCAGCAGCACTTTAGCAAACTGTGGCGTGGACTTCTAGGGACCTCGCAGACTCCCACAGGGTGCAGTGGGTACGAATGCAGCAGCGTACGCAGTGCGTCTGCCCCGAAAAAGGGAACGCTAGTGGAGGAAGTCCCGCGACGTCGATTAAAGGGGGTGGGGCAACAATTGCTGAACTGGCCTGAACCCGGGGCTACGCATCTCAAAAAGTGCCCTGCCGCAGGACTCAGATACACCGGACGAGAGACATGCTTCTGCAAGGAGTACAGTGTCTTCCACCTTTTGAGCCTAGCCACATCCAATTTATAGAAGTTTACATCACACTATAAAAATTCTATTTATACTTTAATAAATATTTACTATATATTATAATACTATTTATAATAATTAAAAAAGCTCTAATCTAAGTTTATAAAAATATTATTAATAACCTTAATAGTTTGTAAATAACTTACTATATAAGGTTATATTCAAAGAAAATATAAGTTTTTTTCTTTCTATTAACTATTTCTAACAAAATTAACTTATTATACTTAAATTTATATTAACTAAAATATTAATTATAAGAATAACTAATAATTAAATAGAAATAAAATATTATTTTATCTAACTGGTCAAAAATATATATATAAACTTAAATAGTTTATTAATAATACTTTTCTTAATGTTATAACTAAAAGTTATTATAAATACTTTATTTATATCTTATAAATCACTATATATCTTTTATATTTATAAAATAATAAATGAAATATAAAATATATTTATTTATAATCTTGATAGATATATTAATAAATAAAAACTTTATTAGAACTTAATAATAAAAAGTCTAAAAAAAATTACTAATAAGTTAAAGGAAATTTTATAATATAAAGACTATATAAATAAAATAAGTATAGTAATAGCTATAGTTCTTTTTAACTACTAAAAATAAAAAGGGAGAAGTAAAGTGGGAAAAGCAAAAGCTATAAAAGTAGCCTATATACTAGTAGAGTTTCTAAAAAGTATATTTTAATATACTATATCACTTCATAGTAATACAAGGAGTACAGTGTCCTGCACCCTTTCAGGTAGCTGAACTGCTGCTCCTGTTGCTGATGGTCCAGAGTACGGATACTGACGGTCAGAATTAGACTCAGCCAAGACAGAGAGGGAGCACCATGGCGCAAGCAGCTACAAGCTCAACTCAACAACTCAAGTCAACACGCTGACATGAACATGTTCCTCCGCTAGGTGCCTTGAGGAGGCGAGGCCAGCATGCATCACTCACATCAACTGCCTTGTGGCCAGGACTCTTCATCCGTCCTACGGCGTCCATCCGAAGACCATGTTCAATGCTGAGGACTGACAATGACATGAGGTGGTGAAAGTACCGGCATCCGTAGCAAGTACTCAA